GCCAGAAAGTTTGAACTTTCCTGCCAATTTAAAAGGTATCTCCAAATAGGGGTGGCTAGATTTTTTTTCCTGGGTAACTAAGAATGTGTAAAATATATCCAAGTACCTTTTTTGTCCTTTATTTCTCTTCCCCAAAATCATAAAAGCTAGAAGTTTACCTTGAGTGCTTTTGTCAAAATCCCATCCTTCCCACATACGCTTTTCCATTGCAGATTATTGGAAGGCTCCTTAAATGAACGTTTCCACAGTGCCTCAATAGCTTCTCCAACCGCTCTAAGCAGAAGCTTATCATAGGAGATTGATGTCTTCCTACGCAACTCACTATATTGTTCTATAGCTAACTGACCGTAAGGCAACCAATCAAAAGGAGCAAAGTTTACCGTCTCAGAACAGTTAAAACCACAATCAAATTCTGAGTGGTATGATCCAGGTAAAACAATGACAAACTCCTTTGGATATTGTACACAACGATAAACAGGTATACCCTCTGAAATCAAAGTTGAGGGAGAAATTTGAGTAGCCTGCAATGAATATGAAATTCAAACCTCCAATATTATAATTCTAGAACCTAAAATCCAAATATTTTCAAATTCCCCAAACAGGAATAGTAATGATTCTCTTGGATAAAGGAAAGAAGAGCAAAGTTGGCATTTAAATCCTTCTGTTTGATAGATGAATATCTTCCTGTGTTAACTAGCACAAGTAATTGAAGTAATATATATAGGTATAAATGTGACTTCTAGGAATAGGATCTTCACTCATGGGCCATGTTTAGTGTAGCTTAGCTCATACCACCATGCATAGATCGTAATATAAACAACAAACTATGATCCAAAACTTGCAAGGCCAATAGATAATGCATTTCTCTTGTAAAGATTAAAACACATAAGGAATATGACTCACAATATTGAGAAGCAACCAAGGATGTTCTGACAATTCTGGATACCGCTTGTTCACAATTTCCTCAAACTTGAAACAATACTGCTGAGGAATGACATACCACATTTTTGGAGCACCCAAATGCATGTAACATAAAGAGTATAAATGGTGCTCTTCAATTCTCTGTTATATTGAAAAGCAAACAGAAACAACCAGAGGTAATATATTAATAATAGAATTAGACTTTGAAGAATGAACCAAACAAACATCACCCAACTCCAAAACAGATGCACTGAAAAGGAACAAATTGAAGGAAGAGATTAAGAGAATATATGTTCTAGTTCCATATAAAGATTCCTTCGCCTTACCCAGAAGTTTGATGAAAAGCACATTCCTACGGTAACCTGAGGATACAAAATGGATGATGTGCTACAGCTGTCATATCGAAGAAGAGAGCCTTGAAGCATAGATGTATTATTCAAGTTCCAGCCAGACTTTACATAAAGAGGAGTTTTAGGCGTATTTGGCCTACTGAGTTTTACTGGAAACTCACTTCTATGGACTCTAGCATCAATGTTAGCTCCAGCTCCACGGAGCACCTATTGTACCATATGACTGTTAAGAAGTAAGTTGAATGACAGTAAAGTATTAGAAGATCACTCATCTAGATAATGTCAATGACGCACCTCAAGTTTGTCAGTTGGCTTTTCAATTACGCGCCAATATTCACCTTCGATACTCTGAATAGATGGCTCTGTTAATGCAGATGAGTCAATAGCCGTGTCTCTCTTGCTGAAGTACTGGCTCTTAAAGTCATCCGCGTAATTGTTAAAAGTTTTGAGCGTGAACTCTGGCCCAGATTCAAACTCAAAGATATCAGATAGGCAGTCCACTCCATCGGGTTCATTTCTATAATCATCACATAATTCCTGAACCGAACTAGAAGAAATTCTACTTTTACTTCTCATCTCCAAATGAGCTCTATGAAGCCTTTTCTTTAGAAAGAGATCCCCAAGCTCATCAATGTGCTGGATTTGGGTCACAAACTTTGAAGTTTCCCAAGTGGCCTTTTCTTCAATTAAAGATGGTGGTTCCCAGGAAGTTGGAGGAACTATACGGCATATTCCATAATGCTCTACACGCGGAAGGATGCTTGCAACATAATTAAGTGTGTCTTCGAACTCCTGATACGAGATTTAACCTTATCTTACTAGTATACAACAGGTTCCATGCTCAATAGATTTGTTATTACCAAATGAACACAATGGGAGTACCTCTTCAGTAGGATGGAACACTGGAGCTTCTTCAAGCAAAGGCATGCATGAGTCTTCAGCCCGCCACCTTGCAACAACCTTTTTAAATATTATTTAGGAAAAATGACAGGCATAAAATAAATTCACAGCACATGGAGTTAGTGAAGGTCCTCTTGAAAATATACAGATAAAATACTTCACAATTCAGAAGCAAGAAAGTTGTCAAAAATGCTCAAATGCTAAACAGCATGAACCTTCTGGCAATTAGCACAACTTGGACATCCTCGAATTACTCCCTTGGGAAGGAAAGCTCTTGAAGACAAGTTCTGCAGAAGAAATTATACATCAGAGAATTCAGTCAATTACCAAAATCAGATTGAAAATGTGGTGGCATTAAATCAATAGGTATCCACTCATGCATGATTTGGCATACAATGATTAACACAATTTTCAAAATCAAACATTTTGTGTTTGTAGTATTGTAAATTTTATGTACTAACACAAATAAATATTACAAACAAAAATTGAATTGTAAACCAAACACATTCAAAATTACTTATTTCCATTGAACTCATAGCCGGAATTTTACCAAAACAAAGTGAACTGAGAAGTTTATTCACACTTTCTAGGCTAAAAGCAAATAAGAAGATCTCAGTAAATAACCTCAACATCATCGCCAGTATCATATCCCTTCTCGAGGTGCTCCGTGTGATCCTCCACAATCCAGGATCTGTTCCTCCTAGCAGAAACCTTAAGCAGGTCCACATTAACAGTGCCTGGAGTGGAATTAATCTGACCTGAACTTTTTTGAGCTTCTTTCTCATGAAGCATGGAATCCTCACCGTTCTCTGCCTTCTCCAGTGAGAAGGATGTTAGCGAGACAAAACCAGGCGGAACTCGATGGTCGTGCATCGCTGCTGTCAAGTATAGGGAATAGTAGAACAAGCAGTGGTAGCGCCTAGCGCCGGTGGTGTTCCGCTCCACGAAGAGAACCCTAAACTGCCATTGATGCACTCACAGAGGTCCTGTCGTCGACGTGATGGTGACAGTTATACGAACAGAGATACAGCCCATATTTAGAGGTTTGCCTGATTAAAATGGGCCAGGCCTAGCTTGCCCTGTTTATGGGCTATGCAAAATTAACTGGGCCGGGCCTTACTCAAGCACAATGTTAAAATTACGTTGATGAGTTATTTTAATCGGTCCCCAAATTAAAGGCAAATTATGCTGTGCATTCGTATGGTGCATACGGATGCAAAAACGACGTCGTTTTAATAAAACGTGCATCTCCCCTTAAAAAAAAAAAAAATCAGATTCGATTCCCAGCAACAATATATGAACTAAAATTTCATAATCGATGAACTATAATTCCATAATCGATGAACTATAATTCCATAATCTAATCTATGAACTAAAAATTCCAGAATGAATGAACTAAAATTCCATAATCTATAAACTAAAATTTTATAATCGATGAACTACAATTCCATAATCGATGAACTATAATTCCATAATCAATGAACTATAATTCCATAATCTATGAACTAAAATTCCAGAATGAATGAACAATATAATGTTGTTGCTGGGAATCGAACCTGAATTTTTTTTAAAGGGGAGATGCACGTTTTTTAATAAAACGACGTCGTTTTGGCATCCGTATGCACCATGCATGGTGCATACGGATGCACAGCATAACTATCCAAATTAAATTGCAAACCGAAATTGAAACCTTATATTAAAGTTTTGGTTTCGGTTCATAAACCGGCAATTCCGATTAGAATACTGAATAGCCGGTGAAAACCGTGTTTTCTTTTCATTTTTTCTTAAAAAAAGTTTTAATGTTTTCATTGTTTTGTTTTGTTTTGTTTTTTTTTTTGTTTTTTTTTTTTTTTTGTTAATTCTAAGTTAGAAAGGATCAAATCATTTAAATTGAATCTCTGGTGAGCCTGGCCTTTGCGCCAGTAGGCCACTTTGTCTATGTTTCTCCATGGAAGGCTACCATTGGTTGCCTTGGTAGAGATGGCGAACGTGACGGTTTGATCGTCGTTGGTCATCGAATTTTTGCTAGAGATTTGTCATGAACCAAAATAACCTGTAATATCAGGTTATTTATCGATTTTTTGGACGTTATTGTCTCAATATAATATGTTAAAGAGTGTAATTGTATTTTTTAAAAGATTAAAAACTTAATTGACTTAGATAAAATTTAAGAACTTATTTCACCACTCAACGCTCGCGCGGCGGCCGGCCACCCCCCTCCATGGAGGCCACCCCTTCTGGACTTCCTTCGCAAGCCACCCCATACAATACCTAGGGGCCAAAGCCTAATCCCAATATCCCCATCAGGCACATTTATCATGAGGCTAGGGTGCCCCAATATCATATCCTTCTCCAAAATGCATGCTCTACTGATTCACTTAAGCATACTTTTACATATGATGCACTTTTTTTTTTTTTTCTTTTTTTTCTTTTATCAGAGGGTATGGGGAGACCCGAGAGAGATAGAAAGGACTAATTTATCTCCTTGACTCTACTAATAGTAGTAGCTCAAGCTTGGTCATTAGCAAAAGGCTCAGTGCACAGGATGGGGCAAGAATTGAAAATCTCCCAATTTGCATGCTGAAAGGCTCCAGCTGTTGCAAGAGATAGAGTCTGCAACCCAGTTCTGTTCTCTATAAATAGCACGAAGGGTTATCTTCCGATCCAGTCCTTTGTGAGCCACTTCCTGGCGTTGTCCATGATATCGCTTATAGGTCCCCGGAGTATTATATATTGTATTTTTATCAATCATAATACATGACATTTTTTTGCCATTAAAAGCATTTTCTTTCCATAAAATAAGTGATGATATATACACACCGTTCCGCATATTCTTAGCATTTCTTAAAAAAAATGAATAAAAATGAAAATTCCAATCAAACATGGCACTGATCTTCTCTCTAGACACCACAAATATATTGGCAACAAACTAAATGGAGTTTCTCCAAAAATAAAATAACAACTCAGATGAAAAGCAAGCCATTTCCACCATTATCAAACCTGCAGAAATCCTCAAGCCACAAAGGAACTCCTCCGCCTGCTTGGAAATTTGCTTCTTCACAATTCACGTTATAAAAGAAGCCATATTCATCATCCTCTTCGCGCTTGCTCTGCGCCGCCATTCCAACATTCCCCGCCGTGACTCCACTCATCGGAGAATAACCGACCGGCAAGAAAGCATTATTCACCGCGTTAGGAGAAGAAGCAGAAGTGCCGGCGGTTGCATCGACAATGCTTTCATGGCAAATCCCCGTAGCTTTTGATTTGTGGAATACCCTGCACAGTACCCACTCTTCCTGCATTTAAAAATCCATAAACAAAATTTTAATTAACACATAACACATCATTTCAATATATCAAAACATTTATATCTAATAGATTTACCTTGGGAGGAATATGGGGATTTTCGAGGCGAAATTCGTGCATGATCCAATCAGTTTTGACTCCATGAGGAGCTCTATGGTGGTAGAACACCAACGTTTTTCTCATCCCCAGAACGGTGCCGGTGGCGGGGTCAAGAATCCGACGATCTTTTCCGGTGCCTTTCCAGTACCCGCAGGTTGTCGCCCTGTTGCTCCGATATCCGGTCGCATATTTCCGATCGCGAAAGCTGAAGAAATACCACTCCTTCGAGTTCAGCTTCGCCACCTCTTTACACCCACAATTCACAACAACAAAGCATTATATTAAATTCCCAGATTTTCAAACCAAAAAGGAAGAGAGAAAAATAGAGAGAGGGGGTACCAGGAAGTTGCCATGGCTCGCAAGTATGAAGATCGATTTCGACCAAAGTATACTTAGAAACCCGTCGATTATTTGCGATGACTTTCTTGTACAAATAGTGACAGACAAGCTCTTCGTCGCTGGGATAGAATCTAAAGCCTGGAGGCAGTGTGGCTTCGATGTCTCTTAACCCCATTGCTGCAGCTTTTTGATGATCTCTTCAGTTTAATTAAGAGATTTAAAAAGAAAGAAAAAGTATGATTTGCAAATAAATGAAGAACAATTAACTATAATATATGCTTTTAATTGGCCAGCCAGGGATTTTGGAAAGATCATGTGTCTGTGTGTATGTATATATATGTGTAGGTATGTATGTGTGTGTATATATAGTTTAATTATTTGCTCAAAAAAAAATATAGTTTAATTACTATGTATGTGTCATAAAGCAGGCAGGCAGCATATATACTTGATTGATCCATAATTAATATTTAACTAACCAGTTGGTTTTTACTTATCAAGGGTGTATTTGGAAGAGTGATAAAAAAGGTTGAGATAATTTATATAAGTTATTGTACGTTAAAGCAATCTAACAACTCCTATTACATTGACACCACTTTAACTGTTCTTCCAAATAATTGAAGTCTATTGCATACAAAATTGGAACAGTAGTCGGTTTATAGTGATAAAGTCAATCAATTTATAGACACGATTATAAGTTTATAACACTTATTACAAGTAACATCAAATAATATTTAACTTTTGATACAAATAACGTTTTCAACTACTTAACCTTGAGGTCTCTAGATGAAAATAGCATTTTCAATCACTTAATTGGAGATCAAGGTTAGTCAAAAAATGTCCCAAAATGGGTGATCGAGTAGGTGGAGTATGATTCTCGTACAAAAAAGATTACATGTTCGATTATTGACAACACATTCTCGATTGAATCCGTCACATAGAATTTTTTTAGTGTAATTTGCAAGCTATTACATAGGAGAAGAGTTTACCGTGCACTCTTAAAATTACAAAATGCACACCATAACAACAACCAACCATAGATGAAAAATTTTAAAATACCTTAAAATCTCAGTCCACCTTTAGTGACAACTTAGTATATATGTGATATTACTAATCTATTAATTGTGACATTTTAATTGTAACAAATACTCAATTATCACAATTACCACTCCCTATGTGATAAAAAGATGTTATCACAATTATCACAAATATTAATATTAATCAATTTTTTGTCTCAAAAAATGATACGGAGTATTATTTATGACGAAATTATACCGTATCACAAAAAATTGTAATTACATGTCTTAATTTTGTAGAGGGAGTTTTCATGCAATGTCATATGGATGTTTATTTCAATCTAATTAATCATATATATGTTTATGGTAGGCCCCAAAAAATATTGTTGAAGGTGATATATACACAACAATGTGCTAGGGAGGATGCACGAGTCCACATCCATTCATCATCATATTTTTTTCAAGGAAAAATATCAAATTGTGTAATTATGTTCTTTTGTAACAAATTGTGTTTCAATTTGCAATAATTAAGAAAACGATGACAAAACAATTATTGTCACCATATGTTTATAAAACAATTAACGATAATAATTGGGATCTCACATGGTTTTGGATTACACATTTTGATCTACAACTTTGCTCATAATAACATAGTTATTTAATTTTGTCATATTAAGCAATTTTTTGAAAAAATTTACATCTGCGATTTGAATGGTAGCTTAGCCTGGACCAATAGACAGCTTTCATAGAGATCAAAATTAGAATTTCTTATTGTTACTAAATCAATTGTCCGACCAACTTAACTGCTAGTGCCTCCATATATGTTACTTTAGATTAAAGTAATGTACCGTGAAAGAGAATTTATTTATTTATTTTAGACGTTGAAGGAAATCCATAGCCACGGTTTGCAGGTATGCATTGGATAAACTCTGCTCATGTGTAATTATCCGCAAATAAATCACATAGAAGAGTGTAAACCGCATTAAAAAAACTCCTAATGTAAAGGGGTTCGACCAAAAAATTATTGGCAGGAGCTGGAATCAAACTCGTGCTCTTTTACTACGGAAATTATGTTTCATCCATTTGACAATATTTATTTTGTTTTTGTTGCGGTGTAGAGGTGGGGGCATATATTGTACCTGAAATTATAAGAAATAATAACCACTTTGTATGTTTCGATTGATATGTGGTACGAGGACAAAATAAATTATAAATCTGCACTCCATCATTCTCTGGCTTTATTTGCATGGGAGCAGAATTGAAACCATCAAACTAAACTAATAATAAATTAAAACAATATTTAATATCCATATAGCCATATAGGCCAATTTTTATTGTCTGTTTTTTTTTTTTTTTTTTTTTTTTTTTTTTTTTTTTTTTTTTTGATTATATTGCATGCATGCGGTTGAACAGAAGTTTAAAAGATCGAGATCAATATCTTACTATTAAAACATGACGTTATATGCTACGTAAATATAATATAATGAAATAAAATTGCACCTTTATTACTAACTATGTAACTTTTAGCGTAATGATAAGCGTTTAGATAGTTGGTATTAGGTTATGAAGAATCACTTTTTTCATAAGTATTAATTCAACTCCAAAACACATGATTATTGTAATAATTAAGGAATAAAATATTGAATGGACACTGTAGGGAATATGAATACATCAAGGGCTGGGGTTTAATGGGGCATCTACATCTGGATTCTTGTGTGTGGTTGGTAAATGGTGATGATTTTGATGATCTTGTGACCAATAATTTATTATTCCCCTTTCGATCTTAACATATTCAAACTGTCCACACTCTACATTTTATTTTATAAATTATTTGTGTTAGGACCCTGGACACATTGTCAAGAATCTCTATTACACATTTTAATTTATTTCAATTTCATAAATCAAATTCTATTATGATTAATTAATTTTTCTGAGCTTGACTTGCATAATTATATGATTTTTGATAGATTAAATCAAATAAATTTATGTACAAATTGGTTGGTGACTAATTATGATGTTTTACTTGTTGGGAAGAAAGCTCGCAAGAATATATAATTAGCACAATGAAAATAAATAAACGGCACCAAGAAGAACACCAAGAATTTTAACGTGGAAAAACCTCCTCAAGGCAAGGAGTAAAAAACCACGGGCACAAGCCAGTAAACCTTCCACTATATAGATAATGGGTACAACAGAGGAGGCTTCTCTAATTCAACGATTAGAGGCAACACAAAATACAAGAGAAAATAACATACCCCGAGGCACAAGAATTTCTACGAAATCCACCAACTTCTTCTCGGCTAATTTTCTCACACTTGTATATCTCAACAAATTTTCTCTCCTCTCTTTTTCTTCTTCTTGAACTCTCTCATGTCCAAGGTAGCCAAATCCATGGCCTTTATATAGGCTTTACAAAGCCAACTCTTTTGTCTTTTCATTTGCCCACTTTAATCTCCCATTAAGTGGACATGAATGAAGCCATTAATCAAAAAACCTTTCACTTCATCTTCCAAGCTTAATTGTTAAGCTTTTGGTCACCACCCTACCCACATTGGTGGGACCATCTAGCAACAAACTCCCCCTCATGCCAATGTGGGAGGAACTTGCATCCCTGCAGCTGAACGACATATCTCAAGCTTTTCCCTTGGTAATGACTTTGTTAACATGTCAGACCCATTTTCATCTGTATGGATCTTTACAAGTTGTAACTGGTTCATCTCCAAAACATCTCGTATCCAGTGATATCTTACATCGATATGTTTCGATCTTGAATGGAAAGAGGAATTCTTACCAAGGTGTATAGCACTCTGACTATCACAAAATAACTCATATTTGTCTTGTTTGATCCCGAGTTCTTGAAGAAATTTCTTCATCCATAGCAACTCTTTACAAGCTTCAGTTGCTGCAATAAACTCAGCCTCTGTGGTAGAAAGTGCAACACACTTTTGTAACTTAGACTGCCATGATACTGCTCCCTCTGCAAATGTTATTAGATATCCCGAAGTCGACTTTCTAGAGTCAATGTCACCTGCCATGTCTGCATCTGTGTATCCAACCAACATAGACTTACTAGAACCAAAACATAAGCATAATTTAGAAGTACCTCTAAGATATCTGAAAATCCATTTAACAGCCATCCAATGTTCCTTGCCAGGATTAGAAAGGAACCTACTGACAATGCCAACTGCATGAGCAATATCTGGCCTTGTACATACCATAGCATACATTAAACTACCAACTGCTGAATTGTAAGGGACTTGTTGCATACTTGCCGTTTCTTCCTCTGTAGAAGGACTTTGCTTACTACTTAATTTAAAGTGATTAGCAAGAGGAGAACTAACCGCTTTAGCATTGTCCATGTTAAACCTACAAAGTATTTTCTCAATATACTTCTCCTGAGACAACCACAACTTTCTGGCATTCCTGTCTCGTGTAATTCTTATCCAAGAATCTGTTTTGCTGGCCCCAAGTCTTTCATAGCAAAAGACTTGCTCAACTGTTCCTTTAGTTGATTAATTCTAGAAGCACTCTTGCCGAAGATCAACATATCATCAACGTACAACAGGAGAATAATAAAATCATCATCAGAGAGTTTTTGAAAGAACACACAATGGTCAGAAGTAGTCTTCATGTAACCTTGCTTCGCCATAACTGACTCAAACTTCTTGTACCACTGCCTTGGTGCCTGTTTTAAGCCATATAGACTCTTCTTTAGCTTACAGACATAGTCCTCTTTTCCCTTGACTTCAAAACCTTCTGGTTGCTCCATGTATATTTCTTCATCCAAATCACCATGAAGAAAAGCAGTCTTTACATCCATTTGCTCAATTTCTAAATCTAGGCTGGCTGCTAGTCCAAGAACAATACGGATGGAAGACATTTTAACAACTGGAGAAAATATCTCATCAAAGTCAATACCTTTTCTCTGGTTGAATCCCTTGACAACCAGTCTAGCTTTGTACCTTGGTCGTGAGGAGTGTTCTTCCTGCTTCACTCTGTACACCCACTTGTTTGTCAAAGCTCTCTTACCTTTAGGTAGCTTTACTAACTCAAAGGTATTATTCTCATACAAGGATTTCATCTCATCTTTCATGGCTTCAATCCACTTTTCCTTGTGTTCATCCTCCACAGCTTTTGCATAACATTCTGGTTCACCATTATCAACAAAATTAATTTCATAAATATCAGAAGAGTACCTTGTGGAAGGCTGTCTAACTCTTGAACTTCTTCGAAGCTGAGGTGGAGTTGAAGCTTCTGGAACTGGGAGTTCATCATCATTAATGGAAGCATCAGTAACATCTTGCTGCTCAATTTGGTCATCCTCTCCAACCTCTTCAGGAACCACTGTTGGAGGTACTATCTCAGTATCAACTGAATCACCGTTATGAGATCCCAATTCTTTAACCCGGTCAATATCCTCTATGGTTTGATTCTCCACGAACACAGCATCTCGGCTTCTCACAAGCTTCTTTTCAACCGGATCATAAAATCTGTAACCAAAGTCATCTAGACCATAGCCAATAAAGACACACTGTCGTGTCTTAACATCAAGTTTCGTTCTTTCATCTTTCGGAATGTACACAAATGCTTTGCACCTGAAGACACGTAGATAATCATAGGAAACATCATTTCCTGTCCATACCCGATTTGGTATGTCAAACCTTAAAGGAGCACATGGTGAGAGATTCAACACATGCGCAACAGTACTTAGTGCCTCAGCCCAGAATGTCTTTGGTAACTTTGCATGTGACAACAAACATCTAACTCTCTCAATCAAAGTCCTGTTCATCCTCTCAGCAACACCATTTAACTGAGGAGTCTTTGGTGGTGTTTTCTTATGGCGAATACCCTGCTCTACGCAATACCTATTGAGTGGCCCAATATACTCTCCTCCATTATCTGACTTTATGTATTTTAGCTTCTTCCCAGTCTGTCTCTCAACTAGGGCATGAAATTGCTTGAATATGTCCACAACTTGACTTTTATGCCTCAAAGAATAAACCCATAATTTCCTTGAGCAGTCATCAATGAAGGTAACAAAATAGCGAGCACCACCAAGTGACCTAGTTTTGAAAGGTCCACACACATCAGAGTGTATCAGTTCCAATACCTCTGGTTTCTTCTTAGTCTCAGCAGAACTTTTAAAGGATACTCGGTTCTGCTTCCCTGCTAGACAATGAGCACACCTCTTCAAATGAACATTGTTCAACCCAGCTAAGCTCTTTTTTCTGACCAGCATGGACATCCTCTCCTCAGATATATGTGCAAGCCTCTTATGCCATATATCATTCGTATCATCGTTCTCAACCGTATTGACAATATTTCCTGAGATCTTGGCCTGTAAAACATAAAGTGTAGAACACTTTGTGCCTCGAGCCACAACTACAGAACCTCTTGTGAGTTTCCATTGGCCATTTTGGAAAGTATTACAATACCCTTCATCATCTAATTTTCCAGCAGAAATTAAATTATACCTGATATCTAGAACATGCTTCACATTTTCCAGAAGCAACTTGGTGCCATTGTTGGTTTCTAACTGAACATCGCCAACACCAACAATCTTTGCATTACCATCATTGCCCATTTTCACAACTCCAAAATCACCTGTTGCATAACTAACAAAAAAATCCTTTCGAGCTGTAGCATGAATGGATGCACCACTATCAATTACCCAGTTTGTATCATGACTTGCCAAATTAATGGCATCTGTGTCACCATCATAGAAAATAAGAAAATCATGTTCAACTGTAGCAGCTACACTATCATCATCACTACCATTATTCTTTTCAGAGTCTTTATTTTTCTGATTTTCTTTCTTCCGTAGTCGGCAAAATTTCTTAATATGCCCCTTTTTGTGACGATGATAACATTCAACATTAGCAAATTTATTAGATTTACCTCTACTGTTATCTCTGTTTTTATCTTTACTCCTTGGACCCTTGCTTTGACTTCTCCCCCTATTTGTTGTAGCCAAGACCTCTGAATGTTGAGAGGAAGTACCTTGTGACCTTCGTCTCATCTCTTCATTCAGGACACCACTTTTAACAAGTTCCATCGTTACAACACCGTTAGGAGCAGAATTAGTCAAAGAAATTTTTAAAGTTTCCCAAGAATCCGGCAATGATGCTAGTACCATAAGAGCAAGGACCTCATCATCAAAATTAACTCCCATACCTGACAATTGATCAACAATCCCTTGAAAATCATTCAAGTGATCCGCAACAGAACTACCCTCGTTATATCTCAACTGCACCAATTTTGTGAGATAAAACAGTTTGTTGTTGCCAGTCTTTGAAGCATATAAATCTTCAAGTTTACTCCACAGTGTCCTTGCGTGGGTTTCACTACAAATATGATTATACACATTATCGTCAACAAATTGCCGAATAAAACCACATACCTGTTCATGCTCAAAGGCCCACTTTTCATCTGATTTATTTTCAGGTTTCTGGGTAGCAAACACGGGTAAATGCAACTTCATCACATATAGTAGATCTTTTATCTTATTTCTCCATATGTGATAATTTGTGCCATTCAAACTTGTAATTCTATTGAACTTTCCTTCCATAGCTTCGCACTTGAACAAGGCTCTGATACCAGTTGTTGGGAAGAAAGCTCGCAAGAATATATAATTAGCACAATGAAAATAAATAAACGGCACCAAGAAGAACACCAAGAATTTTAACATGGAAAAACCTCCTCAAGGCAAGGAGTAAAAAACCACGGGCACAAGCCAGTAAACCTTCCACTATATAGATAATGGGTACAACAGAGGAGGCTTCTCTAATTCAACGATTAGAGGCAACACAAAATACAAGAGAAAATAACATACCCCGAGGCACAAGAATTTCTACGAAATCCACCAACTTCTTCTCGGCTAATTTTCTCACACTTGTATATCTCAACAAATTTTCTCTCCCCTCTTTTTCTTCTTCTTGAACTCTCTCATGTCCAAGGTAGCCAAATCCATGGCCTTTATATAGGCTTTACAAAGCCAACTCTTTTGTCTTTTCATTTGCCCACTTTAATCTCCCATTAAGTGGACATGAATGAAGCCATTAATCAAAAAACCTTTCACTTCATCTTCCAAGCTTAATTGTTAAGCTTTTGGTCACCACCCTACCCACATTGGTGGGACCATCTAGCAACATTACTCCTATGTCAGTCTTTAGATTTTTTTTTAATCATCCCTCGAAAGGATGAAACCTCTTATTTTTGCAAAGATTATTGGTGTTTTCTAATTCAGATTTGTCTAATTGTAAAGTTTTGTTAATTTTTCTCACTCGTTGTATCAGTTAAAAATAAACTATCCATCTATGAGAAATGAAGAATTTTATTTTGAGAGAATAAACATAGGCATAACAAATCCATTTTACTAGAAATTAAAGAAAGCTCTAAGACAAGAACATATTGACATTATTCATCATGCATGAATTGAAACATTTGGTATCAGACCAAAGCCATGCATACAACTGATCAGATTAACATGTGACAACACCTAACTAGAGATAGATTATATATGAAAGCCAACCGTACTTGGGAGGTGGCTTATGAGTCGGCAACAAACCAAATCACTTCTTTAACAACAACATCTTCTGTCTTGAGTATTTGTCATCCGGAGAGAAGCCAAGTGAGCTGCAAAAGATAGTAAACACACTTCATAGTATATATATTCCTTCATGCATCTACACTTATGCATTACCAAACAAAAACGTACCATATATACTTGTAAATTGCTTTGGTACGGTGTAATAAGATTACTCACCATTGATGCTAGTTTCTTCTCCTTATTGTTGATCTTCTTCGTTTGATCTTCATTGCTAGTTTGCATGCTTCTTCTTCAAAAAACCTTGCAATGAATTCTGGCTTTCCAGTTAGGAACATGAGACTTCCCATGAATAATCCAAAAAGAATACCACAACCGTACCCTATTGCTACAATTTTTACAGTGCATCCGCTCAAAAAACTTGAATCGTCTTCTTGGTGGAGCTCCTTTGGTGCTGGAAGTTGTGGTGTCATGTCATTGCCACAACCTCGTGACAAAGGTTTTCCTTTCAATCCATCATTTCCTTGGAATGAATTGACTTCAAATGTATTGAATTGTGGGCCTTGAGGTATGCATCCCATTAACTTATTATGTGAGAGATTCAACACTTCAAGAGATAAAATACTAGTCAATCGTCTAGGGATTGTTCCGCCAATTTGATTTGAAGAAAGGTCTAAGGATTCAAGCACAGATAAATTTCCAAGAGACATTGGGATGTGGCCAGTGAACATGTTATGTGATAAATTTAATTCACGTAATGCAAGAAGATCTCCGATGCTATATGGAATTTGGCCCTCAAATTTGTTGCATGAGAGATCAACAGCAGTAAACCTGAGTAGTATTTGAACAAGTTCAATATCTTGCCCTTTTATTCCCACCAATAATGTATCTCGATAGTAACTGCTCAGTAGGTACACTGGCATTGGCATTCTATCTTCATTAACAATTTTCATGGCTTTAAAAGTCTTGAAAAACCTTGCTGGCAAATCCCCGGTGAACTCATTGTAAGAGATGTCAAAGACACGGAGTTGAGGAAACAAGGAGCTTTTAATTCTCATACTTGTTAGGGAACCATTCAACTTGTTAAATCTCAAGCTAAGAACCTTCAGATTTGGAAGAGTTCCTAACCACATTGGAAACATACCACTCAAGTTGTTATACCCAAGATCAAGAATTTCCAACTCTTTACAATTGATTAGAGATTGCGGCATAGCTCCCTCTAATTGATTATCACGCAAATTTAGTCTGCCCAAGGAGTTGCCAACCTCAAAACTTGTTGGGATTGGCCCATGAAATTGGTTCCGGTGCAAATCTAACACAGAGAGATCTTTGCTGATATTTCCCAAACATTGAGGTATTAACCCAATTAATAAATTATTGGCCAAAACCAAAGTTTGGAGAGAATGTAAATTGCAAATGGTTGAAGGGATAAGCATTGATGTGAAATTGTTTGTGGAAAGGTCTAAGACTTGGAGGCTTGTAAGATTTCTAATTGTTTGAGGTATTGGACCAGAGAGATTGTTTGTTGACATGTCTAGCAAAATCAAATTTTGCAAGTTTCCAATTGTATGAGATATTAGACCATAGAGGTTGTTTTCTGGCAAGTACAAATTAGTTAACTTCTGCAAATTTCCTATTTGAGGTGGGAGCATTCCGATGAGATTATTGGTGGAAAGCAATAAGCTATCTAGGTTAGTCAAGTTTCCAATTGTTTGAGGTATCGGACCATAGAGGCAGTTTTGTGATAGGTCTAGTGCAACCAAATTCTGGAGGTTTCCTACATGGGGTGGAATTGTTCCTGTGAGATTGTTATCAAAAAGCAAAAGAAGTTTGAGACTTGTAAGGTTTCCAATTGTTTGAGGTATTGAACCAAAGATATTGTTTACTTGAAGGTTTAATTCAACCAAATTTTGCAAGTTTCCTATTTGAGTTGGAATGCTGCCCGAAATCTTATTTCTATCCAAGAAAAGGTATTCAAGATTTGTGAGCAAACCAATTTCAAATGGAATACCCCCATTGAAGGAATTGCGTGCAAGTTGCAATGACGTTAGTTTGGTCCAATTGGAGAAAAAATAAGGGGAAATATTACCAGAAAGAAGATTATATGATAAGTCTAACTCGGACAACTTTGTCAAAAATGACAGTGATGAAGGTAGTGGACCAGAGAGTGAATTAAAAGCTAAAGTCAAGTGAGTGAGGTTAGTGCAACTGCCAAGCTCAGAAGGAAGACTTGAATTCAAGTAATTGCTGCTAATATCCAAGACTCGAAGATTTTTGAGTTGACCTATAGCAGATGGAATTTGTCCTTGAAAATTATTGGCCGACAAATCAAGATATTTGAGGTTGGATAGCTTGCCAATGTTAGGTGATAAAGGTCTTAGAAATGTATTGGCAGAAAGATTGAGATGCTCAAGCTTTTCCAAACGGGTGAACAATGACTCAGGGATTGATCCATTGAAATTGTTTTCAGATAAATCAAGATAAGTTAGATTTCTACAACCCAGTATGAAATCAGGGAACCTTGGTCCAAATTCATTCCCAGAGAAACTAAGATGTCTCAGCACAGGAAAACTCTTAACATTAGACCAATCAGAAGCCTCCAAGTAATAATTTAATCCAAAATCCAGGAACCATACCTTCTGAAGATTACCAATCTGATAAGGAACAACTCCACTAAAAGAATTGTTGTAAAGGTTGAGGTACTGAAGCTCCCTCAACTTCCCAATCTGTGGCGGTATGATTCCATCAAACGTATTGTCGCTCAAGTCCAAGAATAGCAAGTTGGACAAATCACCGATGGCAGGAGGGATTGATCCATTGAAGTTGTTTCCACTTATGTTGAAACCAGTGAGGCTGGGAAAAGAAGTAAAATTGAGGTGGTGAAGAGTACCAGAGAGATGAGCATAAGGAAGATTGATCTCAGAGACAAATCCACCGCCATTGCAGACAACCCCCCTCCAATTACAAAGGTTTCTTAGGTTGGATAGTGACCATGAATTGAGTGAAGAAGAAGAAGAAGACAACATCAACAGGCTGCTCTTCCATTTGAGAAGAGCTTCAGCTTCTGTTCTTGCTGATGTTGTCGTCTCCAATGCAAAGAAACAAACTGGCAGTACAAGAAAGATGATCAGTGCTAAATAGTTGCAACGGAAGTTCTCCATTGTATGTTATGATTCCCAGGCCAAGAAATATGCATGCATGCTCGATCTTTTATAGACAAGCTAGTAGTAGATATATTGGCTTCATGGCCTGATCGATACATATATGAGGATGAAATTTCTAATTTTTCATTTTCCACAGCTCCTTTATCACATGGCCGGCCGGTAAAGAAAAATGATACAACATTATCACTAAGCTAGCCATAGGAATTTGGCATTTTTCTTTGCAAAAGTCAAGATTTGAAAGTTCACCATGTAAGTAATTAAAGTCAAACATGGGAGCGCGCATGGGAACTATGCAGAATGTACAGTGATAGCAGCAGCAAAATTTGACAAAATTGTTAGCCACAATTGTTGACAAATTAAAGAAATTATAGTTTGGCTCCTAGATTTTAGGCTATCTACAAAATAACCCATAATCCTCTACTATAAATAGGGAGTTCATTTGCCATTGTGATTATCCCATTCTCAACCTCACCTTCTAGGCAAATTATGTTGTGGACACGTACCCACCTTGCAAGGTGGGCACAGTTCTACAACGGCGTCATTTGCCGTTCTAATTTTTTAAAAAAATATTTTTCACTTGCCGTTAACGGCGTTTCTCTCTTCGCAATCGCACAATTTAGAAATTATAAATTTACTGTATTTAAATTATGAATCTACAGTATAAAATTATGAATCTACAGTATTAGGTTTGTGAACATGTGATAGAGCTATATGTTCATAATTTTATAAATATATGTTCATAATTATAGAGCTATATGTTCATAATCTTCGATGTTCATATATCCAATTTTTGAACTTTGTATTCACAAATCACAGAACTATATGTTTATAATTTGATAACTATACAGTTTATAAACTATGAATCTACAGTACATAAATTATGAATCTACAGTATAGATATTATGAATCTGCAGTATAGAAATTATGAATCTACTATATTTAAATTATGAATCTACTGTATTTAAATTATGAATCTATGTTTTAGAAATTATGAATCTACAGTATAGAAATTATGAATCTACAATCGTGCCCACCTTGCAAGGTGGGCACGGTTCCACAGCATAACGCTCCCATCTTGTATCTCTTTTGATAGCTTAACATAGCAAATTTCTTTTAGAGAGAATTAGAGAGTTATATTGTAGCTCCTATTGTAATATTATTTTGCCACTACATACAAAAATCCTTCTTCAAAATTGCCTTATTGTGTGTATGATTTACTCCAAACCTTACACTAGAAATATTCTCAATATTTCCCGCCCAAGTTGCCATTGTAGTTAGGTGTTGTGAACCGGTATCGATCCTAACAAGTGGTATCAGAGCCCCATGTTGGTTCATAGATATATCTTTATTGTATCGTTTATGTTAGAACTCATTCTGTTAAAGTGATTGTACATATCTAGTAAAAGCTCTAATTAAAACTTGGTATTTAAACAGTCTATTTGTGACTCACATCTCTTCTCCAGAAATATTTTTCTGGTGTATTGTTCACAAGATCGATAGCGTTCTATTATACGATACTATTTGGATATATTTTGAATCAAGCTGGTTAATTAAGTGTAAATATTTAATTTGACATTAAACATAACATGATAATCATCTTCTTGCTATCTTTGAATATTGAAACGACGATTACAACAATGAAAGTGACAATAATTACAATGTGAACAATCTCGTTCTCTTAAACCACAATAATAGTTTAGATTTTGAATGAAGACGTTATGAAATTAAAGTCTTCGCCCTTTGGGCAGCGACTTCCTCCATTGTGGTCCTCATCTAATTTTCTCTCAAAATGTTGAGTTCCCAACTCTAAGGACTCCTTACATTTCGACTCGACAAAACATTGTGGAAAATTATAAATCATAGTGACTCAATTGTTCAGCAGACAAGGCCTCATCTAAATATCGAACAAAGACAACCATGAAAGTCTTTGTCCAAATTTTTGGACACAGATCGACCACCATGATAGTTTCCCTCCAAATGTGGACGAAGACTTCCTCCATGGGGTCCTTGTCCAAGTTTGAAAACCTTAATTAGGTTATCATCTTCAGAATCGGAATGAGAATCAAATACTTAGTAATGATAATGGGTTCTGGTGAAAATATTTTGCATGTTTAGTAGTAGTTAGGGTGAAAATGGAATAATTACCAATATTGATGTTTGGTTATGTATGACCCTATATTGGGAATAAAATTTTTTAAAATACAAAAAAAAAAAAAATCAAAAGCGATTGATCCTAATATAATGACATCCAAAGCACCAATAATATGAAGAAACATGCAATCAAAAACAAAAATATGAGCAATGTAATGAAGAGGTGACAAATGAGGAGCGATAAGATGAAATGATACTGTTTTTAATTAGGGAATGAAGTTTTTAATTGAAGGGTAATCGAATCACATAGTTGTGTTTTAAAAAGTTGTTAGTTAAACAATAACTATGATTTTGATTCGCATTCCTAATATATTCATAAACCAAACACATCTTGAGGTTTTATTTATTTATTAATTATTTTCATGAAGGCTAGAAAGTTGTGATTAAACCAAAATTAAAGGCAAAATAGTCAAGAAAACGAAAGTCCATGGCCTATTTTTTAATATTATTATTATGTCGTATGTATTTTAATTTTTATTATGTTCTAGTCATGTTTGATGTATATCGTATGTATTTTAACTTTTATTATGTTCAAGTTATGTTTAATGTATTTGGAATTTTAATTAATATATATTCAATATTAGTCTTGTTTCGATCGTCTCAATGCGATCTTTAAAATGGTATAATTTTTATTTAATAATACAAAGTTTGAACTTATATTCAAAAAAATATAAGTATTTAACAAAATAAAAAATTTCATATAAAACAATTAAAGGATATACTTGGAATTATAAAAAAAAATAAGGGTAAAAGGGACATTTTAGGATTATAGCGCAGATGAACAGCGCAACGCCAAATATAGCGCTGCATTGTTCATTAACGTCATTCCCTTTGGCGTTTTGGCGAGACACCTTGGAGAGAGAAATTTGAGGAAATGGTGTTTTGGGAGATAGAAATTGGCCTCCCGTTGGAAATGCTCTTAGTCTCTGAGGTCAACCATTTCACATCATCAGTGAATTAAGACCATTGACTACATGAATAGAAATTCACAATTTTTCATCCAATCTCATTTTAATAATAATAATAATAATAATAATAATAATAATAATAATAATAATAATAATAATAATAATAATAAAACAGGAAAGGATCTTAGAAAGGGTGATTTTTTGTTTTGTTTTGCTTTTTTTTTTTTTTCAAAATTTTGCCAAAAATTAAAATGGGTGTTACTTATAATTATTGGGTGTCCATGAATATAATGGTCTGGCCCGTCATCTTTGAATGAGATTTATTCATCATATATAAAATAAATGCACAGTCCAACTACAAGCTTAAACTTTTAATTGAGATGGAGCACATACTTCAATTAGCCTAAGGTATCAAATAGAGACTGTCATATTAGTAGGAGAAAAATTTGAAAGGGTGACTCGCATAATTATATGAATTTCGATAAATATATAGTTGAAAAACATAATAGACCATATAATTGTACTTTATTATTATTTTTTTGGGAGAAAGCAAATAAAATTTCTTTAAATATTGAGGCTCACTAGTACGAGGTATAAACTATAGACACATCTACTCAAATTAAAGACAACAACCAACTCTCCACAAAGACAACATACACTTAAAACCGTTATTGTTGAAATGTTTTGTATTCAAAGATTGCTTAAAGACAATACACTAAAATTCTTGTATTAAAAAAATGCATAAAGATAATAAACTTTTAAAAACCGTTGTTGTAGAAGTGTTGTGTATTCAACGTGTGCTTAAAGACAATGAACACACCAACAACAACAAATAAATAAAATAGTTGTCTTTTAAAAAAACACACACAAAGGAAATAGACTTTTAAAACCGTTGTCGTAGAAGTGTTGTGTATTCAAAGTGCGCTTAAAGACAACACACCAATAACAATGGATAAATAAAGTCATTGTATGTAGTTTTAAGAAAAAACGCACAAAGACAATTGTTTACAAAATCGTTGTCTTTAAAGTGTTTGTGTATCTAACATATGCTAAAAGACAACACACCAACGACAATAGATAAATGAAACCATTGTCTTTTAAAAAAAAAATGCACAAAGATAGCGAACTTTTAATACCGTTGTCATAGGAGTACGAAAAAGTGTCTTTGCCTTCTTGCCGCTTGCTGACTTATTGCATTTTTCTTGTGTATTCAAAGTGCGCTTAAAGACAACATATCAACGACAACGGATAAATAAAATTGTTATCTTAAAAAAAAAAATCCCCACAAAGACAACGATTTTACAAAATTGTTGTCTTTGAAGTGTACGTTGTGTATTCAAAGTGCGCTTAAAGATTAAAATGTCCTTCATCAACAAAATCATTTAAATTCCGTAAAATATAAGGGCATTTAGGTCGCCTTCAATTATGAATTTTTTATAAAAATAAAATAAAATTAAAAATATAGCGGATCAACCCACTACCTTTGTATAAAAAAAATTAAAATGTCCTTGTATTTAACAACATTTCAATGATTTTGTTGGCGGAGGACCAAAAATGTTTTGATAATAAATTATTTTAATATATAAAAAGGACCCTACACACATTGTCAAGAATCTCTATTACAAATTTTATTTTATTTTTATTTATTTCAATTTCATAAATCAAATTCTATTTTGATTAATTTTTCCGAGCTTGACTTGCATAATTATATGGTTTTTGATAGATTAAATCAAACAAATTTATGTACAAATTGGATGGTGACTAATTATGATGTCTTATTACTTCTATGTCAGTCTTTAGATTTTTTTTAATCATCCCTTGAACGAATGAAACCTCTTATTTTTGTAAATATTATCGGTGTTTTCTAATTTTTTAGATTTGTCTAATTGTAAAGTTTTGTTAGTTTTTTTTCACTCTTTGTATCAGGAAAAAAAATAA